TATTATACGACCTTTTATGTGAACTATCCAAATTTAACTTCAACTATATTTTATAACATTAATAATAACATTTGACAACATTTTGCTTGCAATGACAGCCCAGAGCTTTCTGGTGTTTTAGCACAACACAAACAGCAAATATTGAAGGAAAAACACTGGGAGCAGGAGACCCGCGCAGTATTGATGCATTTGGGCAAAACACTTGTGTTTTGAATGGGTCTGGAAGGAGGAGAGAAGAATCCAATAAAGTAAACATGGCAGCTGCAAGTGCTGTGAACTTCGAGTGATTTCACAGCAGCAGAAATTTGACAGTGGTGGCACCATTGAGTGACTGTTGATAACATAGCAGCGCGCTTTGAACGAGCAAGAAATCTAGCAAATGCCAGCTCAGAATACTAATTTAGAGTGCAGTCCACAGAACATAACACAGCAATGATCTCCGTATTTCAGCACACGCACACACAGACACACGGTTTTCTTCTACTGTATCCTCCTTACCCTGTCTGTCACTGATTGAGGCTTGAGTAGTTGTCTTTGGCCCTTGCAAAACACGGATGCATGCGTCAACACACATACACACACAAATACTTGAAAGTCGACTCATGTCCGTAGCAGAGTTTTACCTCCTGAGGCGATTTGAATCTATTGACGCACTAAGCGCTAATGAAAAAAAATAAAAATAAAAAAATAAAACAGGGGAAGAGAGCAAGAGGATTGAGTCAAAAAGGGAATGAAAGAGAGGAGCATAGACAAAAAAAAAAGAGAGCGAAAAACTGGGAGCAGAAGGTCTCATTCTAGTTTCGTCAGCAGTGACTCCTGATGCAAGCACCTTTGAGACACGACGCAAGCCTGGAGCTACTTTTGATGAAGTAAGATAGCCATCAAATGACTGCCAGTGGCTGGGAGGGAACTGGAAGAGGGAGCAACAAGCTGGCGTGGGGCATTGTCGGGCAAATCCGCCATCCGCCATCCGCCATCCGCCATCCCTGCCTTTTCCATCCCATCCAACCTTTGGGACACTGGAACAAAGGGATGGCAGCACCGATACCAAAGGTCACTCCCTTCCAGTGCCAGTTCAGCAATTTGGCATGGGTTTGCTTATCCATTCTAAATCGGCAACAGACCCTACATGGCGTCAGAAACAGAGGGCATCCATTTCCATAGTCCCAGCTGCACTTCTGAGCCTGTGTGAAGAGAATCAGTCTTGCCTGGCTGGGTGTATGACATCAAAAGACCAAGATCAGGATGTTGCCTTCCCTCCTTTTCACCAATGCACAGCTCCCATCATCCGTTTTGAGTCCTTAAAAGTATCAACTACATGCTTTTTTTCTTCTACATTCTGATTTATTAAAAAATGCATTCAGAATACCAAAAGTTGAGGGATGCAACCAAATTGTAGGACACAAAACAAGGTGCAGATCCTCATGACTGTGTTCAAGGTCAATTTAAGGACATGACACACCAAGCCAACATCAAATAACAGACTGTGTTGTCGCCTTGTGTCGCTATATCTGGGCCAAAAAGTTAAGCTTGAACATACGGGCAAGACTACAGCCAACGTCCAACTAGAATGAATGTATGCTCTGTGCTTGTGTGAGATGAAATACCAGCAGGTGGCAGCAGTCCAGGGGTTCTCAAAGCAAGTGCTGTTTTGTTTACGGTTTGTATATCTGCAGTCCTAGTTTCGGTTTCTCTTTTTGAATGATGAATGTGAACTACTGCAGGGGTTCTTAGGTATATATTTATTTATTTGTAATGAGTATGAGATACACTCAAACGTTATTCACTTGCATCAAGGTCATGGTTTCGATTCCCAGTAAGTGCATAAAAACTTCACAAAAAATCGCATTATGTAACATGCGTTACAAAAGGCATAATATCTTGCAAATTAACTAACAATTGCAAATTGTTATTCGTTAAGTTATGTACTGTAGCAAGACTGGTCTCATTACATCTTTTAATCTTAGTATCTACTTGAAATTTTTGACATCCCAACTCGAAAGATATGCACATCCCAACTCGAAAGACTACCTAACGATGCGCTTGTCTATCACATCACTGATCTTATGTTTTATTACTAAGCAACGCAGTCAGACACAGACCCTCATAACACTGCTCTCGATGTATCAAAAGAATAAAATAACGTGGCTGGGATTTGTTTTCTTATTCAGAAGCCCGGCTTCATTTACACAACAGAGGAGGCGATGCTGGAACTGGCATTGATTTCTTTTGATTTATCTATACAGGGCATTACTTGGAGTCTGTGTTCATCGAGCCCTGCACACGCTCACCTACTGTTAGTGAAGGAAGGGCTCTGATCCCTAATGAAACACAAGCAAATCAGCATCCTCAGTTTCTCCCCAAATGCTCGTTTAGGGATTGGCAGGCTCGATAACATTGAGCCTCATTCTTCGTTTGTTAAAAAAAAAATGCTTTGCGGTTTTCTTGCACCATCAAGTTCCTTGACTACAGAGCAGGTACATAATCAGTCTGCAAGACACGACTTTCAATCGATGGGAGAACATTTTACTTACACAGGTCAAAATAAGTGTGCGTGCAATTAGATCCAATCTATAGTATTTACTTCAGGAGGTGATGTATATTTTATCACAACAGGTTGACACCTGAAGCAAAACTCGGGATGTAACTGGAGACATTAGCGAGAATTACTGCCCGACTTTTTTGATTAGTAGTCACGTCTCGTCATGAGGCACAACTGTGCTTTAGATAAGGGAGCATCGCTGTGGCCATATCAGAGAATCTAAGCAGTGATTTTGCTGTGTGTGTCAAACTTCTGACAAACTGGGATCTGATTTATGCAGCATTGACATTTTAAACTGGGATCTGATTTATGCAGCATTGACATTTTAGTGAATGCTGTAATGAAAAAAGGCATTTTTACAGATTTGTGAGTTGGATCCAACAATGGAAGTACAGGAGAAGATGCCAGACCTGCCTTCATTTCCAACTCAATTAGACCATGAAAAAAAGAATGTGGAGGGATAACAACCTTTATTCTTTTTCACGCAATTTATAATTACAGGAGCAGATTATTGATTTAAAGAATTATTTATGCACAGTTCCTTCCACAGTTCTATGTTATGACCTCAAAACACTTTCACCATAATGCATGATTTGTAAACTAACACATTTTTACATTTGTATCACATAAGCAGCTCCATATGTATGGCTTTTCTGATATCGTAAACTTACTCGGTAGCACACCTGGTACAACATTACACTTGTAATGTAAAGCTCTTGGGTACAAGTCACAATAAAAGAGCTCAAGGACTTGCAGAAGCAAGATAAAAAGGTATGGTTACTTCAGCAAATGTGTTTTTATCTTAAGTTTGCTTTTGGTTTAGGGTAAAATGTAGGTGCTACTTTATCTTTAGAGCATTAACATTTTTAGTGACATTCAATGGACAATAAAAATTCAGATTTACGTTCATCTGTTTTGGGAAAAAGTAAAGATGCTTTTAGAGCCACTTAAACTTTCACTTTGAAAGTGTTTAGAAATATGCAATAGGCAACATCATATTATTTTGCAGAAATTTCACCACAGGCACGTAACCTGGGTTGGACTTGTGTGATATATTCAAAGTCGTTGGAAGCCACATGATAGATTTGTGCGAGGAACAGGCCAAAACTCAAATATGGTGTCTATGGCACAGGTTGGACGTCCATCTATTAATTTTCCAAATATTCTTGGGTCTTGGGTCATAGAGACGGAAACACGAAATTAAATTATTTTTAACCTATGCCATGTTTGATTTGAGATCTGGGGGATGAAATGTTATCAGTAAATAATGACTTTCGGTCTATGCTTCATATAAAGATAACATTTCAAAAGACTTGGAAAACAGTGCAAGTTGTATGGACATGTTCTGGTGTTTTTATAGTGCTTTTTCCCTGAATTTCCAATGGTCACTATGATCAAATCAATGTGAAAAAGTTTTTCTCTATTTATGATGTACTGACACAAATTTCAAATGATTTTCAACGGTCTCTTTGTCGCGTACAGTGTAGGCAGACTTTAGCTGTTGTGGCGCGGCGCGACACAACAACTGTCGCGTCCGGTGTAGACACGGTGTAAGACTCATTTTAGTACATATTTGATTTTGATTGTACACACGTCTGAACTATTGGAAATGAGAATCTTCTTTACTTTAGCAAGCTTTTTCTGATCTAACCTCACTGTGTGACAAAGGTGAATGTAAAGACTACAGAAATATATGTATCTGTGGTGAGGTAGTTTAAATAGGAAACAAAGCTTGCAAAGAATCTGGAAACAGAAAATATATTTTCATCTCGCTGAAACACATGCAGTGCACTGGTTTTACTTATGTTCAAAGATAAAACGTCATGCCTTCTGTGACGACCAGACTACTTTCCATTACACTTGCGTACTCACGTTTCCAGACAAAACATTCACTATACTTGCTGGCTTTTCTCAATAATTTGACTACTAATTTGGTAAGCTTATGAAACCAAGATTTGTTTGCTTGTGTCCATGTGTGTTTGTCATGCATTAGCATAATGAATGCTTATGATTTGCATAGACTCATGCAGACTGCGCTGTATCCCTCAGACACTTTGGGTATGTTGGAATCAGCAGAATTATTCAGATCATACAGATATGAGAATTCATGAGATCCCATCTGGTTATGAAGCTGTCCTAGTTCTGATAGTAGACCCAGCACATGATTACATTAAAGGAATGGTTTCATTATTTACTCACCCTCATGTCATTCCAAACCGTATGCTATTATTTTTTTTACCATGCACGGTTTTAACAAGGCGCTGTTTACACAACACCCTTGTCAACTAAGAACAGAACACTTTTTTTTTATGTGTTTTGGCCGTTCATTTACATGACAACAGCATTTTTGGAGCCTGGAAATGCAAACATTTGGAAACAGCTTTCAAAGATTTTTAAATCGATACCACTATCGTCACTGTGGAATCTACAGAAATGCAAATTTGCGAAAATGGTGACATCATGTGCATATATTTTATATGTTCATTCTATAGGAATGCATATGTGCGCAGGCGTGTAGACGCAGTTATTCTTTACAAAGTGATGTCGCCAACTACTGGCCTGGCATGCATTTTATTTAGTTTTTTGAGACAGAAGACTGACAGAAGAGATGCATGAACATGCATTAAGTTTTGTCCTTTTGTGTTCCACAAAAATAAATAAATAAATACATAAATAAATAGTTTGAAATAACATGAGGGTTAGTGCATGAAACGTGTTGCAAAACTGAACATTTTCTCAAATATTCAGGAATTTTCAACAGCTTTTTCCAGCCCTTGGTTATGGTTGAAGTCTAAAGGTGATTTTTTCCATCCATCCATACATCCATCTCATTTCATTTCATTTCATTTCATTTAATTTCATTCATTCTTACAAAATACATTATAACTTTTCAGGTCTTTTAAGTACACCAATCTCATTCTTAAGCAATTTTTACAATGCAACCCTTGTTAACTTTTTTCACTTCATAACTTGTATGACTGAATGTGCAATTTGAGAACAGAGCTTAGTTTTTGTTTGAGGTCCTTACGGTTCAAAAGCATCTTTTGCTATTCTTTCTCTTCTTCTTGCCATGTCTTTCAGTCCCTATGTAACATTTCCACCTGACTGCTGAACGGCATCTATAATTTGCGTCACAGCGATTCCTTCGTGCTTAAGCGAACAGTAAATGTGTTTGTTTTGAAGTGCGGTAGGTGACGAGGGTCATTAGGTAAGTCTGATGAATGGTGCCATCCTTGTTCGGCTGTTGGATTGACAGTTCAGATCAGAGATTTAACCAGTGAACTCTGTATCGATTTATAATCGATTTGATTCAAGAGTTAAAGCAAACTGCTCTACTTCCCACAGACTTGAGTGACTGAGTGACAAAGCGAGTGTGAGGCTGAGATCGCGGTCAAACGTCGCCATGTGTGTTTGACTGGAAACAAATGGGAACAAAGGTTTTCATGTTAATTTTCTTTTGATGTGTGCAAATAGTATGCATTTAATTCAGCAATAGGTGTTTAATCTAAATGAGTGTTTTGGAACAGAAATCTCACCTCACACTTAACATTCATTAACCTCTTAACCATCTAAAGGCCCATAGATTCTTGTTGTTTACATTCACTGCATGCTATTGCCATGGCATTCTTATTTAATCTTGACAAACTGTGTGTGTCATTAGAAATATTTAAGACTTCAGCCTTGCTATTTGACCATCTGCTTGCCAAAAGTGGAGGCGCATGAGAAAGGGTTAATACAAACTTTGCAATGGCTTTCTCAACTGTGTTATACAACAAATAATAAGAAGAACAATTACATTTAAAATAAGCATCTATATGTTTTTGTTTAAATACATACTTTATCAGTCCTGATGTTTTCTGTAAGAGGGCAAACATTTAATTTTTTCTAGTGAAACAAATCAAGCTCTGCTTTGAAAAACATAATTGTTTCCGATAAGTTTATTTACAAGAAACGATTTGCAAATCAATCAAATACAAATGATGATTACAAAATAACATCATGTGTTTAATTGTGACAAAACACCAAAACTTGTCTCAGAGAAACAGAGAGAGAGAGAGAGATTATGTGAGTCTAACTAGTCTCCCAGTCTGTCCAATCCTGTGGTCAGCTGGTTTAACTAGTCAAGACAAAAATAGAGTTATGCAGCTCAGTATGTGGAACAGCCATTTTTAATGTGCTGCCACTAATATTAATAGCCAGAACAAGGATGTCTTGGCACTTTGCTTTCCTTAATTAAGGAAATCAAAAAACTTAGACGGTGTTAGTAATTAACTATCAGGAGTCAATGCCTGGTCATCACAAAAAATTCCAATAAACAGCCGCCATCCCTGTTCCCTGACAAGCTTGCATTGTTTCCAAAGCACCAGAGACAGTAGGCTTTGTTCCACAGTTATTGGCTTCTTATTAATTAAAGCGATCGCAGTATTTAGCTGACCGGGAATGAGGGAGGGGGACGGAGGCTGTTTTTTTTTTTGTTTTTTTTCTCAGGCTGCCAAGAGCTGTAGTGGTGTTTATAAGTGACTCTTTTCCTCTATTTTCAGATGGGATGTCTGAAGCAGGAGTTCACAGTGATGGACCGGCCCGTGGGAGTCCATTAACAGGTCAGGAGGTGGTGAAAGGAGTATGGGCTAAATTCATTAGCACTCTCAAGCTACCATCCGAGTGTATCGAGCGGAGGAACGGAGAGCAATGCTGCAAGTTTGTGTGTGTGTGTATGTCTGCTTCTACTATCTGACTACGGATTGGTTCTTAATTCAAGCTGATTTGTCACCCTATGTCTTTAACTCTCATCCCTTTCATTGTATTGCCCTTTGGCTTTCACATTAAAATGCTAAAAGTAATTTTAGCATATGTTTCAGTGATATATTGACTAGGGCTGCTTTCATATGGATGCATGATTTGGGGAGAAAGAAAAAGAAAGAAAGACATATCATTATTTGTGATTTTTTTTTTTTTCTGGTTGCAATTTTAAAATAAAATTCCTGGTTTGTAGGGATGCACAATTTTGCCAGAATATTGTGATTAAAGATGAGCATGGCTAAAATAAAATAAAAGAATAAAATAAAATAAAAATCACCACATTTACATGCATGGTATTATTATTATTATTATTATTATTATTATTATTATTATTATTATTATTATTATTATTATTATTATTATTATTATTATTATTATTATTATTATTATTATTATTATTATTATTATTATTATTATTATTATTATTATTATTACTACAAAAAAGAGACATCGTTTCTTATTACAAATCGGTTAAGATGATTGGCACATAGCAATTCCAAAGGCACATTAAAGCAACTCAAACTCAGAGAAGATGCAGAGATGGAGTTCATGTGGAGCAGCTGCGAGACGCTGAAAACACAGGATCATCAGTTCCTCGCATGTAAATGAACACAGTGCCACGCTTTAGTGCCACTCAGCCTTTGCGATCTGATAATTGCTTTAAGTTATATCGGGGTTTTGGTTTTATGTTGATGACATGAGATGGGCTAAAAACTCCATGGACTGTATGAGGACGTGGATTAATTTTCTATTGAAAGATGACATTGGGGCTGGACTCCTTTTGGGAAAAAAAAAAAGAAAAAAGCTTTTATTTCACATCACATCACATGAATGATGATTCACTACTTGCTATTGTCAGTCAGAAGTAGAGACTGGACAACAATTTGGATTTGCACATGAAGTCAAGATGAGTCACTGATAGAAAAAATAAATACAATAATGTGTTAAATGTGTGTATAGGTTTATTTTGTCAAATTTAGGAGTTCACTAGCATATGGCTTAGCCTCAAAGCTAACAGACGGATTAAAAAAAGGGGAAACAAAATCATACAGTTTTATACTGTGTACAACAGCTGGCTGCTAGATTGTTACATCAGAAAATATTTTGAAAAAGCTTCTCATTCTTGTGTATCAAAAGGCAAATATTAGTTTTGTATTGGTTTTAGCTTCTTTTTTTATGTCTATCTTCCCCTTAAACTGATAACTTGGTGACAGAGGCACCTGATGCAATAAGGCCAATAACATGCATATATTTTCAAGAGATTCAACTCGAAAACAACTTTAAATCTTTGTGAATTCGGTTGTATAATCAATATATAAGAAAACAAAAATACTCTAAACATTTAATCAATTATACACAACGGTAAACTTTTACCACAGCGTACCTTCTGATTTAGAACAACTTAGTTTGACGTCTCAGGTTTTAATTAGGGATGCACCGATACCACTTTTTCCAGTACTCGCCCGATACCGATACTTTTATTTTTGGTACTTGCCGATACCGAGTACCGATACCAATATTTTATTGCATTTGTACATTTTTTAAATATTGGGTACAGAAACCAAAAGCTCTGAATAATTTTTGGTTTCACTGTATATCCTTTGGCTATTTTCACACTTAATTATGCCTATTAAAATTTATTTTACAAGTTTTTGTTACTTTCACTGTTCATTTTTTGCTCTATGGTACATCATCTTTAATTTAATAGCATTAGAGCTGCTCCATTGCAGTGGCTTTGCTGTAATAATGCAGGGAACCACTCGTTATAAATCTCCTAACTGATATTTTCAGAAATAGAAGTTGCGTTTTTTCATCTGAAACATGCTGCGATTTATATTCCAAAGCCTCTCATATAATGCAGAAACACTCATGAAGCAAGCAAAACACACGCAACACGCACACGTATTTGTACTGATGCAGAATGAGAGGACAGTAGCCTAGCGCATTTCACACAGGCTGCTAGTTTCACTTTCGCCAGAAAGTCGTATGCCCAAGGTTAAAAATAAATGACGTTTATAGTGAATGCCCCTATAAATGGTCTTATTTTTACGAGTTAGTTTTAATCCAAATGATGCGTGTGCTGAGTGAGCGAACATCAAATATCACACAACAGAAGTGCGCGCGTGCGCTCTCTCTCTCTCCCTACCGTTAAGTAACTTGTGCATTGTTTTACTTACTTGTTTTTGACATATCCGACTGAACTTCACATCAGCTGTGCAGGCGTTAATACTGAAAGTTTAACATTATATGCATTGCATACATATATTTCGTAGACATCCTTAATCTCTTATAACTCCTTTCTGCTGTCTGTTGTTCTGTTGTCAGTGTTTCTTTGTCTGAATATGGCACTGATTACATGCTGTGTGGTATCGGCATTTGGTATCGGGGCATTTTAACGAGTACGAGTACAGGAGCTCAGTATCGTGCCCGATACCGATACCAGTATCGGTATCGGTGCATCCCTAGTTTTAATGATGAGATAATGAGCTTATCAGTGTGAGATTGAATTGAACGTTATATGAAACATCTCATTACAATGCCAGTTAATCACACTCTTTCTTATACCGGCCTCTCTGTGAGATAATCACCCCTGAATAATGTACACTTAAGCATGACCAGCAGACATAACACCAAACTTTCCTTCATGCAAAAAACAAACACTTCCGAAGGTATCCGATGATTTATGAAACCTATGAAAGATAAGATACAGATATTTTATAATATTGTAAGGCTTGTGTTTCAGCTCTTAAAGTCTTATTTTTTGCCTTCAATATTGTTCTTCAATCAGAATTTGAGGCTTTTCTAATAACTATTGTGCATGTTTGTCATAGCGAGGCAGGGCACTATAATGTTAATTTTGGGATCTTAGATCTTAAACACAAGTGTCACATGGTTGTCAGCGGGAACTAGTTAACTTGAAAGTTTTAGACTAAATTTTATTTAATTAACTTTTATTCAGCATGTATGCATTAAAATTATAACAAACTGAGAGTAAAATAATGTATAATGTTACAAAATTTATATTTCAAATAAATGCTGTACATGTGAACTTTATATTCATAAAAAATCAATCAATCAATCCTGAAAAGGTATCATGGTTTCCACCAAAATATGAAGCAGCTTAACTGTTTTCAACATTGATAATAATAAGAAATGGTTATTAAGCATCAAATCAGCATATTAGAATGATCATGTGACTGAAGACTGAAGCAATGATGCTGAAAATTCAGCTTTGCGTCACAAGAATAAATTTCATTTAAAAAATATTAATTTAGAAAAAAAGTTATAATAATATTAAACAATATTACTGTTTTTGCTGTATTTTTGATCAAATAAATGCAGCCTTGGTGAGCTCAAAAATGCTAAAAAAAAAAAAAAACTTTTACTTACCCCAAACTTTTTAACAGTAGTGTACATCATTCTCTTACATGATATTTACAGAGAGTAAATAAATAAACCATTAAAGTCTGAACTTTGTGTCCAATTGGTTGTTGATTGTCCTGTTCAAAGCCTTTGTACATGAGTAAATCTAAACTCAATCTATCCATCATTAACAAAGATATATTATAATTATCAATGTTTCTTGACTTGTCTTTCCATTACACGATGTACAGAACTTTGTACAATTATACAATTCCAAAAGGCTGGAAGTCATATTCACATTTTGACAACTTGATGAGTTATGAGAGTCATTCATGAATAATTCATAATTAGCTTATGCATATATTACCAGAAAACATTGACAGAGTCAACAAGGAACACAACTAACTAAAAAAAAATAATAAGTTGACCAGTCGTTACTTAATTAGTTTTTGTACTTTGAATCAAAATGTGTAAAGTTATCCTGACCGGAACATCAACAGTGAAGAGGCCAATGCTTGGAAATGAGATAATCTACCATTAACAAATATACTCTTTGGCCTATTTTGCAGCCTTTAATCAAATATGTCTGAGACTCTGTTCGCTGTGGGGCCTAACAGAGTAATACGTTAAATACGTGAATCTTAATTTGCTGGTGGAATGGGAGGTTCGAGACGGCTATGCGAATATTGAAGGAGACAGCTCAACTGATGTTTGCATACAATGAAGTGTACATTTTTTGTTCAATTTTAAAATTACAGTTAATTAGAGGCTGCACTTGTGTTTGGAATTATCAGCGAGCGCATCGCTTGCCCTGCATCCTCTGTGTCTTCCAGTCATTGATTTAGCAGAGCCCAATTAGTGAGAAGGCCTTTGATAATTCATAACTTGAAAATAATGGATTTTTCAGTCAGCCGGTTTCCAATGAAG